TAGATGTACTGCTAAGGGTAGCAGTGAGCAAGGCAGGAGAGGTCCACTGCACGTGGGTTAGTCCCTGGCTGGGGACTGAACTCACGCTGCAGTGGTGATAGCACTGACACTACAGTACGTCTAAGAGGGGATGTGCTTTAATTTCTTCAGTTAAAGAATTCGCACTTATCTCTAATTCTAGAAATTTGTCTACATATTCTATCAGACATGTTGGAACCTCTTATTCTCTCCTCTTTTCCATAGTATCTATTTCATTTTTGCTTTTCTGTTCTGCAATCCAATTGGCTTTATATGCAGAGTTTAGTGCTTTCACCAGTCTGGGCCAATCTTCAAGGTAATTTTTTGGCTGTGAGCCTCCCCCATGCTGGGAATCAAAATTCAGACTATTACATGCCTGTCTGACCCAGGTTTTAGGATTCCTCATGGATGCCTAGGATGGTTGGCTGGGTCTCTCTACTTCTCTTCCAAGGCTCCAGCTCTCTAGATCCAGAAGTCTCTCTCCACCAATCCCATCAGGATCTAAGGTTACATCTCCTAGCCTTTCTTGGAATAAAAAAAACCTCAGCACTCCTACCTGCGTTTTGTCCATAAACCTGGGTGCTGTGTTGGCATAAACTATTACCACTCTGGCTTTCTTTTCTTCTTCTTTTTAAAGATTTATTTATTTATGCAAGTAAGAACTGGGGTATAGGTCAATGGTGTGGGGGCTGTATGTGAGAGGATTTACCAGAGACAGAGTGGGGAACAGAACAGGCAGATCTACTGAAATACATTGCTGAGGGAAGCAGCGGGTAAGACAGTAGAGTTCTGCTGTGCCATGTGGGTCAGCTCCCTGGCTGGCAATCAAACTTGTGAAGCAGATAGCTTCACAGCGCTGCACTTTAACCCATTGCACCACCAGGGAGGGCCTCCTTTCTTATATCTATTTTCCTTCTTTTCCCCTTCCATTTCCCCCAAATTTAGCTACTTATGTTTTCCCCTTATTTTAACCAAAATATCTATATGGCTAGGTGTGACTGTCAAGATGTTAAATACACAAAGAAATTTTTTTTAAAGCGGTCTTAGATTCACAGCAAGAATGAGCTGTGAAATAGGTGGAGTACTCTGGTCTACCTCGCGCCCACATACACATCCCCTCCCATTATCAGCATGGCCCACCAGAATGGGACACTTACTGTTAAGTGGTGAACCAAACTGACACATCATAATCACCCAAAGTCAGTTTAGTCAAGATTCACTCTTACGTGTCCTAACCCATGACTGTGGGCAAACATGACTCTTAGCGACCATCACAATACCATACAGACCACTTGCATTGCTTAGAAGCCCTCTGTGCTCTATGTATTCACCATAATGTCATAGTTGGCCTTTCAATTAATACACTTTTAAAGTTCCTCCATGTCTTTTCATGGTCTGATAGCCCATTTCTTTTTTTCTTGCAAATAATACTCCATTGTCTGGATGTGCTACAATTTATCTGCTCATCTTGGCTGCTTTCACATTTTGGCAATCACCACAAAGGTGCTATAAACATTCATGTGCACGGTACTGTGTGGGCCTGTTTTCAATTCTCTGGGAAAATACTAAGGAGCACCGGGCTGGATGGTGCGTGACAGTAACTGTCCTGCGTGGGCTCTCTGCTTTGTAGTCCCACCCACAATGAACGGGAGCTCCTGCTGCTCCACATTCTCATCAGCGTTTTGTGTTTTAGTATTTAGATTTTTGTC